AGCATAGTGAATTATTCAAATAGCAACTTCTACTATCATCTCTCCTTACTAAGTCAACAAGCCATAGACTTCAGAAGCAATGTTCTTCTATAAGTGTCTAATAGAAACAGGAAATTTATTTTGTTTATCAGTTTTGGCAATGTCATACTATAGGGAGACTCCAAAGTCCTCAACTAATAACTTAGAACACTTAGAAAAAAAGAACCAGAACTGTAACATTATAGAACTATACTCAATGAGGTTCCAGTGGTAATAGAGCAGAACTAGTTCTCATGATGTGATGCATGCCACCAGCACCCTTTCTACTCTTTTAAGGCACCATACCCAACTGTAGGGACTTACCTGTTGTAGAGATGAAAAGATCAAGGTTACCACATTACAGTTTGTATAGATTTAAAAATCTTGAACATATATTGAATTATGTCATTCAAATGTTTTTATGAACCTATAGTAGTTAATGATCCAACCCAAAATTATTTACAAGCTGAATATTTTATGTCATATTTTCCATGAGTCATGTAAGACTTCACAAAGGTCAGAAGAGAGTTATGTAGTTACACCTGGTTTTAGGCAGCAATTTAGCACATTATTTTTATTGAGGTTCCATCCACTCTCGTCACTACACACATACAATTATCTCATACGTGTTTCTCTTTCCTTCTGTGTATGTTTTCCATTTTGTACCAACTGGAATCTACCACAGTTTATACAACAATTTGCATGCAATGAGATGTTTCAGAGCAGAATAAACTGTGTATCATACAAAATGACACACAAGGTGCTTCAAAAAAGGATTAAGTCTTTGCAGCAAGCACTGGCCAATGGCTCTGCTCTATGTAGTCATCACTGACCTATGCTTTCAGACTTCAGGAGATGGTATCTCGCCAGACTGGCAATAGCATTACAGAACACAAGGGACTGATTCACTGTCTTAGCTCACCACAAGGAATCTTTAAGAATGCATTGAACATTGTTGCTCTTCCATTAAGTTAATCAAAATCTAATAATTTTAAATAGAGAAAGAAGGGCAAAATATTGCTGTTGGTAAACTTTCAAATGACAAAATGACAAAACTTTCAAAATGACACACAATATTTGAACTGATGATTTAGTATTTTGAAAATGGAGCTTAGGGGCTTTTTCAAAAACAACAGAAATCTTTGTAAGTAAAGAATCAAAAAATCCCTTCATTTTTCAGTTAGCCCATGCCAGAGCATAAGTGTAAGGAAGAATTTCACCAATAAAGAAATAGTTTCATTTTCTCCATGCAAATAAATAAAAGCAATTATAGAAAATATATTTAAATGTTAAAATACCAATAAGAATATTTTTTGGTTATCTGGCTTTCTAAACCTGCCATGGAACGGCTGCATTCACCAAGGGTAACTGAGGAAAACAAGATTATTTTCTAAAACACCCTCTCATCTATTATTCTCAAAACCAACTCTTTTTATTTTCAGTTCTCTTCCTAAAGGCTTTTTTATTAAAACTATTTTCAAATCTGCTTTGTACCTGAAGGGAAAACTCAAGTGAGTGATGTGCATTTTAAAGAGAAAAGCGGTTTGTCTTTTCCCTTAATCCTGACAACAATATAGTACCTCTTTATTTCAAACCATAATGATTTTTTTGTATGTCTTTGCCTTTATGTCTGACACTGGTCTTGATGTACAGTGTGTTCTTAAAAATAACAGATTTTCACTGAGAAAAAAGTAAAAGTTTTACATCTAAGCTAAAAGTCACGGAGCAAGTTTAAAAAAAAAGCAACACTCTTGGGAATAAGAGTATAGAAGGAATTCTTCACTTCATGTGAATGACGATGCCTAGAATCACCCTCAAAAGACTTTTGTAAGGAAAGTAAATTTTGGAAAGTACTTAATATGTTTTTATTCTCAAAATTTTCTTGTGATCTTCTCTCACCTTATATACAGCAGGAACTACTGATGGTATCGACAACCTGATTGATGTAACCCAGAGAATTTATAATTGCTCTGTCTTTATAACACCATTTCAGCATGTAGACATTTTCCTTTGCTACTCAGCATGTCAATAGAAGCCTTTTCTCTCCTCCACCTCCTGGAGCAACTAAGAAATATAAGACCATGGTGAAGTACTTTTTTGGCAGCCTTTCTGATATCCCCACATGCTGAGCAGCACCCATGAAACAGCTTGTTATTCTTCTGAGTGGGTAAAATCAGAAAGGGAATTACAGCTTGAAAACAAAGTTCACTGTTTCATATAACCTCAGAAGAGCAAAATATAGAATGAAAAATCATAATTTATTAAATTATCTAATTGTGTTCCTCCTAACCTCCTTTCAATTCTCTGTAATTTTTAATACAAATTTTACATATGCCTGATACATTAAAGGTTACAAAAACACATTTTCTTTCCCTGTTCTTATTTTTCTATAGCTTTTTTTCTCTCAATGAGATTATATGACTGATAGTTAAGGGAATCTGGGATTCTCAAAATCTGGGTGGGGTACGCCAATTCTCTTAGTTCCCATTGCTATAAACAACAAAAGTAACTAAATCTAAAAGCAAAAGGTACCGATGAACAGAAAACATTCTATAAGAAAACAATACATGGCAAAATTATAAAATCATGCACCTGCATCTCTGAGAATTCTGTTGTGTATCCTATTCCATGCACAAACTGCCTTACCAAAGGATCCCATTAAATAAGGACATTAAGTACTCAACTTCTTTGGCAGTACAGTGGATTACTGACCTGGGCAAGGATAACTGTCCTTGTGCCATCATTTTCAAATGGAAAAGACAAAATTTCCTTTTCAGACTTTCTTTTCCTCATCACACAATCTTCTCTAGGGACATCAGAAAAATTGGGGATGTTTTTACAATTCTACAGCCTTTCCCACTCTTGAAGACTTGAAATAGATTGTGTTTTATTTGACAACCTTATTTTGATTCATCTGCTTGTGTCACACTTCTTGCCATGACAAGTAGTGGGATTTCCATATGGCACCAAATTTAACTATGCAAGTCCAATGACAAATTTTCATAGGAACTAACCCCTATGTTATCAGTTCAGAAATTTTCTTACACTTTTCTTTTTATCCAAAGTATCATGGAAGAAGGGGAAATCCAAAGAGTCCAGGGTTAAAAAAAATACACTGTCTAGTAAAACACAGATGAGTAGACCAAAATATCTTCGCAATGTCTTAAACAAAATTGTTCATAGAACTAAAACAAGATACTGCTTTCCATTTTTAAATGGAAGTTTTCATGGGGATTTTTTTTTTCAAGCCTAGAATGCAGAATCTCTTGTTCTTTCACTACAGCAGCTGTCTATCACATTATGTCCTGAATCTACATATGTGCCTTTTGCACTCCTTGAACACCTTAGTGATCTCTTCTTGTTCAGAAGTCAAAGTTCAGTGAGACCCACTATCAATTAAGCCTTTTGTTCCCATAGATACTGCTTTTGAAATTTTTGACTAACAGGTCACTCAGTCAAATCACTTCACCTGAAAATTACCTATTTTACTGCCAGAATCTCAACATTGCCAGCATCATTAGGCGCTTTTGCAGAAAGCCAAAAGGGTAGAATTGTTGTCATTAATGTTAAAATCTTTACATTTACTCTTCTTATTATACTTCACTTTAAAAATTCAGTACTATATATTTATTCAAATTAAAGTTGTTTTTATTATTTTTATTCTTCCTCTGTCTTCATGGAGGACAATGCAATTAAATCATAGAACTGATTCAAACATCTCGAGGTACACAACTTCTAGTGAAGCAGATGAAAGAAGATAAATTCAACATCCATGAGGACAGGAACAAAAATTATACAGTATTAAATAAGTAAAAAAATAAATCAAAAGTCAATGTTCCTTTCTTTTAGTTATCATTCTTGCAAGCATGAAAATATAGAATGCAGTTAATTCTCTACAGATGCCCATTCTCCAACTAACTTGTAGCAAAAAATTCTGTTGCAAAATTTTAGCAGGAAAAGAGAGAGACAATTAACTGGAAAATGGCAGCTTAATTAAGAAAAGATCAAGCAACTGCCTGTTAATACATAGTTCTTTTAAGGTACTCCTAATGCTACATTTAGGAAGTAAATGAGCTGCTACACAATTACAGGAGGAAAATAGTACAATTATCACAGAGATAACTTGGGTGGACAGCCTACAATTTCTGACTATGTTAGATAGTATTAGTGAAAGAATAAATCACAAATGAACTGACATTAAGGGTCAAATGCAGTAATTCAAGAGAAGCTTTAGGCCTTTCCCAGAAAATACTAAAATAGGCAGAATTCATAACAACTTCAATTACCAGTTCTAGCAATATTCTGTCTCATATTTACTTTTCTCTCTTCTCTCTGCAGAAAACCACATTTCACACAGTGACAGAGGAAAATTAGCAGGTCCTTTTCCTTCTGAGAAAAATTGCTTGCAATGTATCTTTTAAGTGTGTGTATGACTTAGTATATATTTTTAGTCAAAGCTCTTGAAAAGGCTACAGTGTCACAAAGAAATGCTTTCAAATGAAAAGCCAATGGCTAACCAGCAAACTGTGCTGAAGCACAGCTGCATTTTATAGAAGTCAGTCCTGCACCTAATGGGCAGTTTCTTAGTCAGAGTAAATCCAAATAGTCCTTATCACAATGGTGCCACAACATTTTACACAAGCTGAAAATCTCATGCCACTTTTGTCAAAAAATGTGCAGACTGAATCCATATTTTAATGTATTCCTAATAAAGACTTAACTACAGCAATTTTCAAAGCACCCTTGAAAATCTCCAAAATAAATGCTAAGACATGTAAAATAAAACGCAAAGCAGGAAAAATAGGTGACCTCTGTATTCTTCTCCTCCCTCCTCCTAAATCACAAGTTATACATGTGTGATTCATGCACAGTAAGCCAAGAAGGTACACATTTTTCAGTACTAGTAATGCTGGGCATCTATAAAAATTCTTTTAATGGAAGTACATTTAAAGGCATGAAAATTCTTCCAAAAATATGCTTACCTCTTCCAGAGCAAGGTAAATTGGAATTTCCTTGGCATTTCTTAGCACTTTCTTCAACTGACATTGGACACGAATGTGGATGTTCACACTTTTTCCCAGTCCATCCTTCTTTACAGTCGCATCTTCCACAATTACACTGTCCATGACCTTTATAATGAATACAATTCAAGATTAACCTCCATTCTAATGAGGTATAAAAACTCTTAATTGGATGAACTTTATCAAAGTTGGGGCTTTATTCAGTAATGAGACTGGCAAAAAAATAAAATCAATCCACTATACCTACTTTTGTTTCTGAAAATAGTACCAGTCTACCATTCAATTTGAGCCATATTCCCTTTTCTGTTTCTTTTCCTTAAGGGATGTTTAGCCACTTCGCACATGATGTAATGCACAAGGGTGGAACACAGATTAAAAATACACATTTCACCACTGTTTGGAAAAGTGGAATGTCTTAAGGCAATATTTAATTTATTTTTATGATATTTTTCTACCGTGGTTGCAGCATATTCTCTAAAAGTATATCAATACCATTTTTTATCTACTTGCAATCAACGTGATCCACTAGAGACAAATAATTTCAAGTTTCAAACCAGAGTCTTCTACTAAACAGTGATATACAAATAAAAATATATTGAAATATTGGACATTCTCATTCCAGTAAGACAATTGGATGTGGTTTTTGGTATCTTACAGCATGTCTGGAACTATTACCTGCACATATATTTCCTCTATATAAAAGCAAACATATGCAATTTTTCTTGAGCTTTTCTCAAGAAAAACTAAGAAAAAAAAGATTGTCCTTATCCCTCTTTATGCTCTTTGCAAAAAGCATTGAGATTCTGGCAATGCAAAATGTTCCTGAGAAAAGCCTGAGAATGAGCAAAACAACATTCCTTGCCAGAAAATCAAATAGCTATTTTCATGAGCTCAGACAGCAGGTTAGATCTCTCACAATTTTCACATAATCATCATTCACTGGACACAGGACCAAAGCATTGTTCCAATGTCTATTTTTTAATCCATGTTCTTCTTGAAAACCACAGCAACAGATATTTTATATATCTTTTTAACCATATTTGCACTTTAGTACCAATTTATCAAACATATTTGTTTGTTAGTTCACAAGGAGAAAATGGGAGGAAGCAATCATTCTAGGAGTCATCAGATTACTTCCCAGAATACAAGGTTTATTAATTGCACAAAATATCTTTCCTTTACGTTAGTTATTTGTTTTCCTTGAAAAGCTTTACAAGCTTCCTCTTGTTTAGAGGATGAATTTAGATTAGGTTATAACGAAGAAATTATTTACCCTGGGGAGGGTGATGCTCTGGAACAAGTTGCCTAGAGAAGCTGTGGATGCTCACTCCTGGAAACATTCAAGGGAAGCCAGGATGGGGATTTGAGCAACCCAGTTTACTGGAAGGTGTCCCTCCCCATGGCAGTGGTTGGAACCAGATGATTTTTAAGGTTCCTTCCAACACAAACCGTTCTCTGATCCCACAATTCTTTCCTTTGCTTTCATGTGTACCTGCTGACAGGTTGTGAATTGGATTTATGATCCCTGACCCAGAGAGATACCTATGGGAGGATTACGCACTTTGATACAATAGTTTCTTTGCTAAAGCCACAGCAAAAGGACTAATGAAATGTGTGAACATACAGATTTTCTTAATGGAAACATTTTCTTTCTGTGTCAAGTAATGAGAGCTATTATCTCTTTAAATGAAGATAATCACTTTAATGTTAAGAAGACTTCTGAAAGACAATAATTCAGGAACATTCTGAATGGTACTTGAGGTGTTAAAAGAAGGCATCCAGTTGTCAATATGATGTACTGTGAAATAACAGTCACCTCAAGCCACATGAAGCTTCTGGAGGGAGCTGTCCTTGTGTGATGTTAAGTCCTCACATCAGGGCTGTCAATTCCTGTCATTTGTATTTTATGAAATAGACATAGAATTTCATTCAGTCACAGTAAAACTCTTTACATGAAAACAGGATTTCCTATAATTTCTCCATGCTACTCAGGATAATGTGGCTTCCTGTCTCTACCTATTAGGTAGACAGAACAAGACAAGAAAATTTTGTATCATCTCTTTTTAATGAAGGTTTCAAGAGAGATGGATTATTTTCCCTAATCCAACTAATCACTCTTGGATTCATCCCAAATCAATTTACAAATAATTGTGAGAACAATGAGGATATTTTTTTAGCTACACCTAATGCATGTACACTTTGTGCAATAAAAATTTATTTCATAAAAGCAATTAAAAAACCTGTCCCACTACAATATCTCTGTTAAAACTTTGATTTAATTGCAGATTCTGCCTGACTACCACAATAAACGAAAATTAAAATTTATGCATCTTTTCTATTTCTGAGACAAGACTAAACAGCCGGACTAGAAGATATTGTTCACACTGCTTCATGTGCAAATGGATTTTTTTGCACAATCTATTTTAGGAATGCATACTTGGATGGCCAGCTAAGACTAAATTAGGCTTTTCTAAAACATAATGGAAAGGGAATGGATAAAAATAATTAGTACTAAAATTTTTGATGAGGAGATAGAAAAACAAAATTATACTTCAACTTGAGTTTTAGTCACATCAAGCAAGTCATATGAGTCCTTCCTTTCATATCTAAGTTTTCCTCATTTACAGTTATGTCTGTGCAATAAAGAACAATGTACCAGTCCTTAATCCAAAGCCAAATGGCAATATCTTCCCCCAGGCTCCTTTGTAACTGTCTGTACTTTCTTACCCTCTGCTTTCTCACAACCATTACCATCCTGGGCAGCAGCAGATGCAAAGGCAATAATGTCCAGGAAAAGGGAGCTGAAGCATGACTTTTTCAGTTTCACAGCATTAGTTGTAGATGCCACGGGTTTGCTTTAATTTAATTAGGTTTGAAACTCTTGTGTTCACCATTAACTATAGAATGCATTTACCCTGTTGATTTGTAGCTTTGCATTCCTTAGTTGATGCTGATATTTTAATCAGTCCCTGAATGCTAAAATCCCTAACAGCAACACAGTGATACATTCAAAAACTGACAACCAAGTCAATCTGCCTGCCTGCCTGCTCTCATGACTTCGTGACTGCACACAGCTCTACATCATTCCAGTTTATTCATTAAATAAACCCTTAAATAAATATATAATATCTGCAAGTGGTTGAACAGTAACTAGTAAATTAAGTCACTGAAGGTTTTTGGAAAAGCTTCTTTTCCCCCATTTTACTGGCTAGCAATTCCTCTAAATTTATTTAAAAAAAAATACAAACCAAAACAAACAAACCTCACCCCCACCCCCAACTGCTGAGAAACTTTTTACTTTTTAAACAGGCAAAGAAAAGGCTGAACATTTTATATATCATGCTGGTTTCAGTTTTCTTTCTCTATTACAGACAACTCCAATTATCTTTCTGTGGGATATATCTCACTCTAGGAATAGGAGGAAAATATACAACATCATTATTGTCCTTGATGTGACTGCATTCTTCCTGTTATTAATTAGGCCACACCAGATTTCTACAGGATGCATTGAAGCTGCCAACCTCCAATCTGTAAAGTCCCTTTGAAATCACATTCATTTGCTTTTGCAGAATTCCTGTGTGTACAAATTGCATGCTGTGTATTGAACAAAGTCCTTCTCTCCTGCCTAGTTTTAGCGTCTTTATCAGTATCCACACAAAACTGCATGCAAGGTCTCTCTGAGAATCTCAGCTTTTGTTAGCTGATACATGGAACATCTAAACTGCAAAGCCATGGATGGATGGATGGATGGATGGATGGATGGATGGATGGATGGATGGATGGATGTTAATTGTTCTGAATATAATGCTCTCGAGTCCAAGTAGAAGAAAAAGGAAGATGGATGTGTCTAAGGTGTGCAGTCTGGGCTGCAGCTACAGAAGTGCAGCTGGGCCACATATTCATATTTTTCAAGTATTGATGCTCTACTTGTTCTCATGTCAAATTGTATTTTCAGGAGACTGGTTTTCATTTACTCATTTATTTACTCTTCCTTGAATTTCTTCTTGATTATCATCTATCTCCCTGTCATATAAAATGAAATAACAACCACAGTCTGATATAAAGAACTTTCAAATTCAAATTTTCCCAATAAAGGATACACCTATATTTTAAATTTTCAACCATTATCCATATATCCATATGTTAGGTTACACTGAACACAAGGGTATTAGAAGAATCTAAAAGATTCTTCCTAAAAGTATCTAATTTTTACAGGATTTTGTTACATGGCATGAAAAAAAAAAAAATTATGTCTTTAATTTAAAAAAACCCTCCAAGCCCTCTCCTCCCCCCCAAGCTTGGTATATTTTAAGATAGGAAAATGAGAATTGGAGCACTAGGGAAGAGGAAGATCAGACCAGTTGGAAGGTTTTTTTATAAAACTACACCTAAATCCCATTTATACACAAACCTTACCTGAACAGAAGTCATCAGAATATCTATCATACACTGCTTTGCAGTTTCTTTCATCACACTCACAAGTATCTCCATGAATATCTCCCCAATCACCAGTTGGGTCCACATCATGGCATGTACATTCCCCACATACACATGTGCCTAAAAATGTTTTAAAAAATACAATTAAAAAGAAAAAAGAGATAGAAGATTAACTGCATAATTTAGAGTAACAGCACTTTGATTACAGGAATTTACGCTTGTGAATTTTCAGCTCTCACAGAAATGCAATTTCAAAGCTGCAAGTGATAATCTTGAGCGTGTGCTCATCTTCTATGATTTGAAATCTTCTATGATTATTTAGTAGCAATACTTTAAACAAACAAATTGGCTTCCTGTTTATGATTCTTTTTGCTGTTGAGCCTTGCTAGGAGTCAACAAAAAATGTAGCTCACAGAACAGTTGTACATCCTTGACATCAACAGTAATTTTCCCTGTCAGTAATGACAATAAAAATCAATTCTGTTTAAATGACTTGGGCTTGGGCACAGGGGATAATTAATGGTTGTTAAAGCATAAACATTTAAACTACAAGAGAATCCAAACTAGCACAGCTGAAAATGTCTAGGAGGTCATTCTTCACCTAAGAACAGGAGCATAGATCTATATGAAAAGATACTTCTCCACTTTCCCAAGTCAATATTCAGAGCCACATCCTGATGCTTACAATAAGAAGAAATGTGAATAACAGAAAACAAATTTGCATATTTTACCAATATGCAAAAAATATGCACCCTACTTATTCAGGAAAATCTGAACAAAAACCCCCAGCCAAACAAAAAAAAAATGAATTTCCTTATTCAGAAATCCAAATATGCTCCAGGGCAACACACTCACTACTTTTTTTGAGATGCTAACAGGCTCATAGAAGCAGCCTGACCTTACTGATGCATGCAGTTCTTTTCTTGAAGAGGTACTTCTTCTACTCTGCCAACACTTTTGTCATCGTATTTAGGTTTCTCTAAACAATATAATGCATTTGAGGACAACAGGACAGGACGACTAAACAGTACACATAGATATGGGCACATTCTCTAATAAAAGGAGAAGGTCTACACAACCCAGCATGCATGACATGAACAGGAAGAGCTACAGCCCTTAATAATGCTAAAAACCCTGAGACAGCCCTCAAGAAATTTGTGCCTAATTTTTTATACTTTCACAATTCAGTGATATTACTGAAGAAGAAAAAAACATACAACCAACCAAAAAACAAACAAAACCAGGAAATGCCTCTGGAGAGTGATTAATCCTCCCAGAAACAACTTCAAAGTTAATTTGGATCAGCTGCCCTGGATGTCAGAATGCAGAAAAGAATCTCACCAAAGTTTAAAAATCTAAATTTTCACATGTGGTCTAAGCTGGTTGACTAAACAGTGCAGGGGAAAAGATAAGAATAATTCATCCATCTTAGCACTGAAGGAGGGTGAGCAGCAAGGTTAGCCTCTATATTTGATTTTTAGAAGGCTCAAGACTGACAAGATGAACTGTACTTATATCACAAGATGTATAAGCACAGAAAACGGGGTAAGTAGGACCAAATGGAGCAGAAATACTTTGCTGGAAAGCAACTTCACAATATCAGAAGACTACACAATTCTTATGAAGATAAAATCACAAATACATGAAAAGCTGAAAACGTGGAAGTATCACACAAATGTATTGGAAGTTGCAGCTACTCAGACTATCAGCTATGCTATTCACACAATTTCTTCTACTGCAATGCCAGTTTAAAGAAATAATCACATATTAAAATTTCAAATTTGATTAAAAGCTTGCTTTGATGAGAAATTCTTTGCCAAGAAATTATTTTCTCCATGCAAAGAAAGCATCTGATATGATGACACTTTGATACCTATTATTTCCAGAACTACATGAAAATTTTATGCTGAAGTCCCGAGACTAAATGAACCTACATGATCTCTGTATTTGAGCCAAACTTTCAATTTCAGAGTAATTACGAGAAGAGAGTTTTCTAAATGCTCTCAGGATGATTGGATGTTCACAGTACTGCAGGTTTTGCCAGTAGAGATGCTTTTAAGAGAGGCATCTCTGTGACTCTTGCTTATGTACTACTATAATTATTCTGGTTTTTTGCCAAAAGAACACCCTATTTTTTTTAACTCCTTGTTCACAGCAGCTACTGAAAAGCAACCTTATTTTGTAGGTTTTTCTTCTTTTTTCCCTCCCCTCTAAATGACAAAATTAGACAGAAGTATAAGGTGAAATTCAAATTCCAAAACTGTGTGCAGATAAAACCTTATGTAGTTAGAGAAGTGTGTGAAGTCTACCTTTCCATCTCTATACATTCCACAGCATTGTTACTGAACACTTCACAGGTGGTTTTGCAGTTGTAGTGGAAATTAAATGCTTTATATTGTTATTTTTCCCATTCCATTGAGAATCCTGTCTTCTTTAGGAGTGAATTGACATACAGTTCTGGGCCCTTATAGCACCAATCTGTTCAAAGTCACAAATCTGGTAATACTTTATTTTGCAAGGAAGATCTTTTACCAAAACAAATATTAACTAAATAACAAATTATCCTGCTCAGTCTTACTACAAAATTAAAGAATGGGAACAAGTTGAGTTTGCTTAATCAAGAAGTGGATGTGGATTTGTGTGAGTTATACCTAAACTTACAGATACCTAAACAGGTAACTACACAGTTGGAAGCATATATCCAGAGCTGAAATAGGTGAGAACAAGTAGAAACTCTCAGCAAACACAGTCCATGTCCTACTGTAGAGAATGCATAGAGTGAAATAAAAGCCAACTATATAAACATGTCTAGAACGTCCATGCAAATGACACACCTCTGTTGCTGCAGATTTTGCCATCTGGAGATGTGCATCTTTTCTTGATCTCCCAGGGGGTGATGTCACACTGGAATTCACATTTATCTCCATGCCAACCAGCCTCACAGTAACAGTTTCCACAGTAACACTTTCCATGGCCTTAAGCCAAAACAAATTTTGTACAGTGAGAAGGAGGCAAGTTTTTAAAAGGCATTAACAATTTAACTGTTTTGATCTTTTCTTTCAAAAACTTTTACTGCTAGATAGAATAGAAACAATTTATAATCCATATATGAATACATTAAATCAGACAAAAGATATCTGAACTACACTTTTCCCCTCTATTTTAGGACTGGTTTTCCTTTAATCATAGATTAAATCTAATCAATAAACAGTAACTGACAACATCATTTTTACATTTTTAAACTTTCTTTTTTAGTTTATGGGTAAATTTTGAAGACTAATCGTTAAAATTTAAGCACAGCTTTACACATCAAGGTAGGACACATACTTGGCATGTCTAAGAACGCATTGTGTGTTCTTGACACCTCAGCTAGTTGCAGTAAAGACATCTTGATTCATTACATGCCAACTATGTTGTACATGGCTTCCCTTCTTCTTCCCCTCTGTCAAGAAGATTTTTGAACACAGCTAAACCAGTTTATTAAGGAGAATTCTTTTTGAAATTCATTTTTCATATGTTCATTTAACAAAACATACATATCCCCAAAAAAGATGGCTGCATTATTCAAGTCTGGGTGAAACCAACTCCAGAATATTTTTATCTGCTAAGGTACATGTACCCTGTGCTTCACAGCACAAAGCTTTTAAATTAAGTTGCTGCAATTCTTAGAGCTGCTGAATCTGGACTTCAGAGGACCATTGCATATTCTCATTTAAAATCCCTACTTAATCCCAGGATTTAAAATAAAAAGTTATTTTTGCCTTCAAAGGCACTTAAATTGAATTTATTTTGCTGTCTGTGTAAGGAAAAGACAAAGAATGAGATTTTACACAAGTACTCTCTTTCTTCAGACACACACAGGGGAAGCACTACCACCAGCTATGAATAGTCTAGGAGCAGACTGGAGCACTCTTGTGGGCATATGGACACAATCTCCACGTGTGTAGCGTGAACAGTGTTTGTAGCACCTTCCAGCTCAAGGACAAGCCTCCTTCTCAACATAGACCACAGCATTTATAATGCCATAAATTGTGTGTTTTGCATAATATTTGACTGCCAGGTTCCTGCCTTATAATGACATGAAAGAATAGTTTAAATTTTGGTTGCTTTTCTATCTATCAGCAGAGTTCATTCCATCTTATTTTCTTGTCTTTCCTATCACAGATGAAATTCATTATTCATTTTTTTCTCTTCTTATCTTCCTGCTTCTGAGTTATCATCCTACATTTATTCTTGATATTTTTAATTTTTGCTTTCATGAAAAAATTCCTAATAATCTATTTTCTGCTTTGGTTTTTTTTCAAATATTGTCCATTCTGCTCTCTCTTTTCTGTGCCATGAAGTATTCACATTCCTCATATATTCTACTGAAAACAGACACACTAAGCTATGAATTACCTAAGTGAATTATCTTGTACAATTCTCTTTGCAGTTCTTCCAAAAAGAGGAGAATGTCACAGGATTTATTAATTCTTTAACCTTATGCTTAGCTCAGTTTTGCATCTGAAATTTGCATGTACAATTTGCCGTGTGAAGTCTTGCAAATAGAGTTACTTTTATTTTAAGAAATACATTCAATAAAGATATTTTGTAAAACCATGTAATTAAATAATAGCCTGTATTAATCTTCTTCACTTTTCTTGTGCTCATTAAGATACATACCTGTACAAATCTCTCCTGTTTCATCATCAATGCATTCTCTGTCATCACATTCACAAAATTTGCCATATACCAGTCCATTTTCTTCTGAGTCAGCACACTGACACCTGCCACAATGACATGTGCCTGTAAACATTTTAAGAGACATTACCCAATGACTGCAGATAATAGAAAGAGTTTCATTAGTGCATCAGAGATGGTACATCTTTTATTTCTGAGAAGGCTGAAATCTAAAGACCATTCACACAAATAAAGACAGACACGGAAATTATCCATATCAACAAAAAGCCTAATCTTAGCTGTATCGAGACAGAGCATTCAAGAGCTTTGGAAGTGTAAAGCTGGTTTTATTTTTGGGTTGTTTTTTTTTTTTCCACAGCATTAAAAAAAAAAACTAAAAAAAAAACTAAAAAAAAACAAACAAAAAAAAACCCAACCAATCAAAAAAACAAAAAGTAAATAAGCAACTACCAAAAAACCACACAAGCAATGAAAACCCAGAGCACTCAGGCAATGCGGCAAAAGATGCAAATGGATTTGTAAAGAGGTCTCTCCTCTATGATTGCTCATCATGTCACACATTTGCTCCTTGCTGTTTTGAGGAGAGTTGCCCCTCAGCTCACTGGCTGCCTCCCTCCATGACCTGCCCTTCTGAATAGGAAGAAATTCTTTAATTGCTCCCTGGGAAAGGAGAATCCCCTCTTTTCCCTCAGAGAGTCTTTCTGACCTAAGATCATACAAAACTGTATGAATGAGTTCCACAGTCAAAAAAAATCACAAATAAATTAAAATGACATTAGAAACAAACGTATTACTATGTCACTCATATAGAAAACCCCTTGTCCCTACCTTTATTAAAATTCAAAGGCTGGGAACTTTGTGTAATATCACATTACTGTGGCCTTGTGGTCAGTGGTCTCAAACAAGTTGTTTCAAGTCAATGGCATCACTATGCCAGCAAGTACAGATGGTTTTTTTCAATTCACAACATTCATACTCCTCACATGGCATCCATATTTATTTTTGAAAACACAGTTATTGGCATCAGAGAAATTCTCCAAAATAGAAATTTTATGCTGATATTACACAAGATTGCAGAAACCAGTTGATGTTTTTACTCTTACAAATTTTACCCTTACAAGCATAGCATGACTTTTAATAAACATCATGTTAATCCAAAGAACAGAAGTATTGGGCTCTGTGACTGACATAGCCATTCTAAAATAGTAAATTGTAAAAATGTATGCAAGAGCTAATATAGTAATGCAATAATAATAATACTACAAGTGATAATACAACATAAGTAACCTAAAGAATTAGAGTCACTTGCTACAATTATTTGGTAAACAAATACAAATGCAATTTTTGAGAAAACTGTCATGATTACAAATAATTCCTGAACAGGAAAGAAGATAAAACAGAAAATTGGTTCCTATACTGGTCAGATATTCTGTATAGGTCAGAGAGACGGTGTCATAAAAATGTTCATTCCTTCCATTGGCGAAAGAGAAAATTGCTCACATAGAGAACCTCAGTTTAGGTAGGATGCTATAGTTATTCTGACAAATTATTAGGGACAAAGTCAGAAAAATTAAATTTTAGGTGGATCTTGATTGGTTATTGAAAAAAATCACAATAAATTATTATCTGTGTTTGCAACAGCTCATGTCATCCCTTCCCATCTTTTACTGGCAATTACAAAACAGATCCCAGACCTCAATGACCGTGTTAGTAGCAGATCAAAAGGCAATCCCACTAAGACAAAGTACAGCAGATCACAGTTAGCCAAACTCCCTAGTCAGTCTCATTGGAATTCCTGTCCTGTTTAATATCAGCAAAAGCAAAACCATTTATTCTTCTCATGATGCCACAAACACTTCCCCCTTAGCTACTTGGAGTGGCTGTTAAGTTATGTCCACTTTCCTGTGAAGAGTAGGGCCATTTCTAACCAAGAAAAGAATGAAGTTGTTTTTTAAAAACTTTGAGTAAGTACAATGAGCTATACTTATTCTTGAAAGTCAGTTTTTCATTTAGCTATCTCTCATGTCTCTCTCGATAGCAAGTTTCATACATCCATTGTTATAAATTAAGTGTATAATTTACTCAGTATGCTGCATGCTAATAGTTTTATGTTAAACTGTTTTCTTACCCTGTACTACCTGCTCTAACAAGGTCCACAAATCCTTGGGATTCTTTGCTTATGTCAGCAACTAACTTGTGAGAAATTTACCATATGAAAATGTGTGGATTCCAACAGAAATGAAATACCAGTATTAGTGAGCAGAAGTGGCATTCTTGAAACATTTTTCGACTTGGAGGTCAATGTAATGGAAAAACCAGAAGGCAACTTCTGGTCTCAAAACTTAATTGGTAGAAAATGCCCTTTAAAATGGTACCATTCTTCAATGAAGGTGACCTTCTAAAAGGCCATTTGGTTTATCTCTGATTTTTTTATTTTTTTCAAGGAGAAGACCTATTTAAGTTAGGATGGTTATAAAACTAAGCAATTAAAGAGAGTGTTACCAAATCAGAACAGTAAAGATGGAAATGCACCTTTAAATTATTCAACACATCTTCTACAACTGATTTTAATAATCAAAGTACAATTAAAAAGTGTCTCAAAAAGTTGCAAAGCTTATAAATGTCCAGGAAAAATATTTGCAAATGCCATTTCTGCATTCTGTACACAAACACTTGATAGAAATTACATCACTTCCTGTTTTAATGCCATTACAACATTCTGATGAGTAAAATAAATGACACAGTGGCACTTTCCTCAACTCACAACAGCTGTGCATAAATCAGAGTACTTAAGTAGGTGTTCCTAATCAGGGTACATTATATGCACAGAAATAAGCCTATAGGAAAATTAAAATTTTAGTATACCTACAATTACTCTGGGTCTCTTGAAACATACAAAATCACTAGTTAAAAATGACAGTAATTCTCAAGACTACACTGGGAGAGCACTAAGGTATCTCAAAAGCAACAAAAGACATCTTACCTGCACCAGAACAGATGATATCCTGAGAATTCTTGCACATTTCATTGCTTTTCTTCCGTGTAAGATTGCAAGTAGTTGGATACTGACAAGCTTCACCGTACCAGCCTTCATCACATTTGCACTTCCCACAGTCACACTTTCCATGGCCTAGCAAAGGAAGGAAAGAGTGTGTCAAGACCCTTCTTTTCTCATTCAGAAAGTGGTATTTTCCTATCCAGCTTTTAAAATAGATTCCATCAATTCCATTTTTAAAATGAACATGACTAACAGAATAACTTAACAGAGTTCATATGCAATTAAAAATAGCAGGGAGACAGCGAGCACATGGCTCCACCAAGAGCAAGGCCTGCTCAACTGACTTGTGCCATTTTATGATGGAGTGACTACATCAGTGGACAAAGGAAGAGCTACAGATGTCATTTATCTGAATTTATGTAAAGCATTTGACACAGTTGCCCACAACATCCTTCTCTAAACTGGAGAGAGATGGATTTGATGGGTGGACTGTTAGGTGCACAAGGACTTGATTGGGTGGCCACATTGAGGGGCCTGGAGGACACCAGTGACAGGAGGAGTCCCTCGGGGATCTGTACTGCAATGTCATTTATTATCTTCTTAATGACACAGACAAAGGGATCAAGTGCACCATCAGCAAATTTGGAGATGCCACCAAGCTGAGTGGTGCAGCAGACACACCTGAAGGATGTAGTGCCCTCCAGAGGGACATGGACAGGCTCGAGAAGAAGGTCCCTTGGAATCTCATGTGGATTAACAAGACCTGCAGCAAGGTGCTGCACCTGGGCTGGGGCAACCCCCAGTATCAGCATAGGCTGGGGGATGAACAGAGCGAGAGCAGCCCTGCCCAGAAGGACGTGGGGGCACTGGTGGGTGAGAGGCTGGACAATTTTCACTATTTACATTGCATACTAATAATTTTTCTCACTAACTTCCAGCAGCAAATTTTTAGTACTTCATTCTTTAGTATTCCTATACTATATTTTAGGTAGTAAATATGAAAACAATTGCATCTCTTTTAAAATAGAGAATTAAATTTTAAAATAAATATCTTTTGAATATGTATCTGATTTACAGAATATTCCTTTCCTATCACTGCATCCTAAAACCGGAATCTAATTAGAGTCCATTTTAAATGCATGGGTTCCTGTGGTTAGAGTCAACTGCCTGAAAAATACAAGCCCAGTCTGCTGCCAGTAAGAAGGAGTTTAAATAACTATTGTAAATGACAATTTTAGTTAGAAAAGATTGTCTCTTTTGTTGCTCAAGAAAACCTTGCTTGCCTTCCAATATGGTCCTAAGACAAGATACAGTTCAATAGCTGCAAAAAACATAAACCAAAAACATAAGAGAACATGCTAATTCTCGTTTTAAAACACGAGTTGCCACCTTGAGTTAAAATAACTATTGTAAATGACAATTTAACTAGAAAAGATTGTCTCTTTTGTTGCTCAAGAAAACCTTGCTTGCCTTCCAATATGGTCCTAAGACAAAATACAATTCAATAGCTGCAAACAGCATAAACGAAAAATATAAGAGAACATGCTAATTCTCGTTTTAAAACACGAGTTACCACCTTAAAAATTGCTGAATAATTCTCCATTGGTAAAGTACAAGGAAAAAAGTATATAAAATACAGAATAAAAACCTACTCTAGTGACTACTCTGCTTCACTGACAGACAACAGCATAAACCCATTCCAGAAAGTGGTGGTCAATCCTAGGTAGCTTACAAAAAAAGTAAAGAAAAAACCAACCATTTTCCTTCCTTTGAAGGATTGCTTGTCACTATGACTTTGCAATCTCTATGTTAGACACTCTTGTGATTTACCACTTTGATGTCTGCTGGTGAAGAAAAGATATTCTAATAAAAGTAGGGCTAATTTTCCCATTCCCATGTCTAAATGACAGAGTAAGGCAGAAAACACTCCGTAGCAATTATTACCATGGTCCAGCAGCACTAACCTATCTCAGTTAGAGATGTACTAATCTAACACATGATGCATGAAGGAGATAAGTAATTTCACTTAAAATGCAACACAGTCTGTTGAAAGAAAATTATTGAAATATTTTCATGAAAGAGGTTATACAGAGGAGTTACTTAACAAGAAAATACCAAAACCCCCCAAATTAATAAAACTTTGAGAAGTAATGGAAGATCATTTGCATGCAACTGAAAGAAACTCTCAGAAAGCTAACTAATATGAATTTGCAAGATTGCACACATGATTTTCACCTTCACCATCCCTTAAAATATATTAATTTTTCCATTTGGATTTTTTTTTAATTTTAAACAATGGCAATATTTTATCTAAAAATTTGGGAGAAAGGTCTATATTGAAGTGTAGAAGGCCACAACTGCCTGCAATAACTTGCATACCTCACAGCTTCTTCACTGTCACTCGGATGATGCAATTGATCTGCAAATCAGTTTGACATAGGAATTCCCTTCTTGCTTATTTCCCACACCCACATGTAACAATATTATTTCCTTCCTCATGACAAAAATAACGATATGATGAAACATAAACCAAGTATGTGATAAATTGTAAGAAAATTAGAGAAAGCACAGAAGTTCACTATTTGGTAAGATAAAAAAACCTTTTCTTTTAGAAAGGTTTTTGTAGGATCCCATTTGTTGTGTATAAATTTCTGCATTATTTAGAAAGCAAATAATGTTATGAAATAGTAAATAAGGAGTAACTATCACTATGAAAGCTATGAGGTGAGATTGCAACTTCCCATAAAATAAATTTTAGCAATAAAGGGTAGACCCAGGTATGAACTTCATTAAAAATCATCATCAACAAAACATCAACCAAAAAAAAAAATCCAACCAGAAACACCCAAAAAAACAACCAAAAACAAACACAGAAAACAAGGAAATAAGGAAGACTCAAGAAAATGCAGTAATTCCTTTAAGGAAAAGACTGTCTGAGGACTGTGAAAAATGTGCAGCTTCACACATTGGGAGAAACATTTTATAACAAAGGGCTCAATTTCTAACTAGATGAGCAGTCATCTCAGAGAGTATATCTGGACTGTGCAGAAAGCTTTTACGGTGGAATCTAAAATTAATATGCTAGGAAAACTGTCAGATGTCAGAAAATATATGAAGAAAGTGAGAACAGAAAATGTTAGGCAGGGTCAGATCTTGCAAAATTTCAAGTACTGAAATGTACTTTCATCATCCAAATAAAAAGAAAACAGGAAAAAGAGTGGCTTCACCAAGCAGTAAAACCCAGTAAAGATTAAAGAAAATTTTCAGGCAGTCCAAAACAAAACTAATATGGGGATGTTGACTACCAGTAGCAAACACAGTGTGACTAATGACATGGTCTCTGGAAATGAAAATTACTCATCTAAGATAAGAAGAAAATAAAGACATAAAACTATTTTAAAGGAAGTGTTGGGACCAAGAGGGCAAGACCCCATAACCTCCATTTGAGAGTACTTAAAATACTTGTACATGAAAGGGCAGTTCAGCAACAAAGACTATTAATGAATCAGGCTGGCAATCAAGTGTCTGAAAAATAAAACATAGCTTTTATTTCTTTTAAGCAAAAGGAGTGTACATGATCCAGACAACATTAAAAAAAATGCCTGTTATCTCATGAGGTGTGGCAGGATTTGAAATAAATTATGAAGTATTGCATAGATACAGACACTGAAGTAATGAAAATGGAAAACAATGAATAACAGCTTTACCCCAAAGTAGACTATCATTATGCCAAAATAACCTGGCATATCTTTTTTGAGATAATGAATATTGTAAGAAGAGGAACATAGAAAATCCATATGATGGGATCATATGTGTTGGACACAATGCTGCCCATGACAGGAAAAAATATTCTGGACAAAATGCTCTAGAAATGTCAAAGAATCACAACATAGTTTAAAGGAAGGAAACAACATTAGGACAAAAAGGCACATTACTGGAATAGATGTCTGGCCATTTTCAAATGATGGTTTTGGAACTCTGTGTGTTTTACTGATACTGATAAAGAAATTCAGATAATACAAACAACATTTGGCAATAACAAACCTGTAAATCCTCTCTAGAGAGGTGATGATGAAAGATCATACAAAAATAGCTGGACTGACAACCTGAGGGACTGAAGTAGTAAAAGTGGACTGAAACTGGAAATACAAGCACAGGATTACACACTAGGGGCAAGGAAATGATGTCACAGGCTAATACCTCCCCACATGGAAACAGCAAGAAGAATGTGACTGCATATTGACATCAGCTCTGGAAACATGGTGTAACTAAGCCTTTAGCAGACAAGTGTCTGAGATGTACCATTGAGGATATACCACTAGGGACAGGAAGCAGTAACAAATCTGCATTTGAAATTATACACACAATGTATGGGATACGGTCCTGAGCTCAGTTTATCCTTGAAAACTGCCATTAGGTCTCTAAACCTTGGAAGACCAAGTCAAGTTATCCAGGGAAAACATTTGCAGAATTTTAGCCACTTGCAAAGTTTCAATTGGTTGGGAATTAAAACATCTGAGCAGAAAGATGGTAATTTAAACCACAAACATTTGGCTCTGATCACATACTTTTCTGATTAGACACTTGACCTCAAGCTAAGTGCCTTCTAAAAGTATTTTTCTACTATATATTTGCATGCCTACAGGTCCAAGAGCAAAGATACAAAGGTAAAATCTCCGATAAAAAGTTCTGAATCCACATCTGTATTGCACATATTCAGGGCATCGATTTGGAAGCCTGCTTTTGCTGAGCTTTGTGTGTAATCCATCATGAGAGACAGGCACTTCTGCAGAGTGACTCAGGTCCTGTGTGGGCTGAACAGACCTCAGAGGTTGTCTGTCTTTTTTCACTAAACTGCTGGGAAGCTGGGACTTTGGAGTTTGATGCATCATTAGATACCTTTGTATGCAAACACAGATAATTCATTTATGTTCTTTTGCTTCACTTATCCATACAATATTCAATGTCAAGGTTTAAATATTCTGACATATTTTGAATAAAAAAGGAGCATGATGTCAGCTTAGTTACAGGCTGATCCGCACTGCCTTATAAAAACAATTCTATTAAATAATTATTGGATGGCCCAGAAACTAAGTTTGAATATTATTTTAATTTTTATGTGGTTTCAGAAA